GACATTGGCCATCACGTCCAGACTCGGACCCAGAGTTGGAACTGGAACTCGAACTGGAACCACCCCCCGGAAAAAAAAATTCGGCACTACAGTGACATTGGCCATCACGTCCAGACTCGGACCCAGAGTTGGAAGTGGAATTGGAACTGGAACTGGAACTCCCCTCCCCCCGCGAAAAAAACAAAAAATCGACATTTAACTGACAGTGGCAATCACTTCCAGACTCGGACTCAGAACTGGAAGTGCAGCTGGAATTGGAACTCGAACTGGAACTGGAAGTGGAACTCCCCCCCCGAAAAATAAATCAATATAATATAAACTGACATTGGCAATCACTTCCAGACTCGGACCCAGAACTGGAAGTGGAACTGGAACTGGAAGTGGAACTGGAAGTGGAACTCCCCTCCCCCCCTCCCCAGTCTCCTGTGTTGGACGTGGAACTGGAACTGGAACTGGAACTGTTCCACCCGCCCGGGCACACTCTGGGATGTAGAGGACTTCACGTGGCAAACAACGAGTTCACAAAGACCATGGCAGTTCAAGAGTCTCAAGAGCTTTGCACAAGGAAATTTGACATTCACGCGAGGAACAATCCAGGTGCACAAATATAGAGAAGATAACATATTAAGAATAAACCAGATTTCAACAGATAATGCTAGTACAATGAAACAGATGTACTTTAAAGGCTTTGCAGACCCGTGAGGCGCCCTTGGTCTCCCGGGGAGACCTTAGCACCATGCGTGCCGCTGGCGAGTACACCGGCTTCGTGCCAGACATGCAGTCCCTTCGGCTTTGAATCAGACCAAACCAAAGAAAGATAATTTTGTATCCTGATGAAACGGTTGGGCATTTTTGGCCACTCTAGTCTGCAGGCGCCGACAGCTCATGAACTTTGTGCTGGTGACCACAGCTGGCATCCCTGTCCTGGTGGCCTTGGGCTGCTACCTTTGGTACTTCGTGCCTCCTGTGTCAGGTGGTGGCGGAGGAGCACAGCTTGCTGGAGACGTGGATGGCAATCCTGTCGCCCTGGAGTCTTGGGTGAAGAGCCACAAGGACAACGACCGTGAGCTGGTGCAGGGACTGAAGGGTGAGCCCTACTACCTCATCTCCACCCCAGACAACATCAAGGACTTTGCGCTTCTGTCCGTGTGCACTCACCTTGGCTGCGTGGTGCCTTGGAACAAGGCTGCCAACAAGTTCTGCTGCCCTTGCCACGGATCCCAGTACGATGAGAATGGCAAGGTTGTACGTGGCCCTGCTCCACTTTCCTTGGCCTTGGCTCACACCACTACCCTGAACGGCAACTTGGCATTGAGCCCTTGGACCGAGCAGGACTTCCGCACCGGCGAGGACCCTTGGTGGAAGTGAGCTGCGGGAGACGCTGACCTTTGGTAGACATTTACTCAGTAGTTCAGCTTTGCCCGCAAGTCGCAGCGGGTCAAGGTTATGCAAGCGCGGCTTGGAGCTAGCCATTTTCCTTTTCTCCATAACCTTTGGACCTCAAAGTAACTGGCTAGGTAAATGTGGCAATCATGGCCGAAGTATGTACTAATAATTACGAGCTTTGCTGGCATTGGTATGGAACTGCGGAGACACCGCTGTGAGCAAAAGGTTGATGAAGGCGTGGCGGCAGCTTTTGAAGTGGGCCACGTTTTGAATGTTCATTGTTTAACCGGATGTTTGGGCTCTCTCTGAAGGGCTCTTTAAGGCTTGAGGGAAGGTTCCGAGTTTCAAAGTCCAAATTGAGTCTGGTGTGGGACCTTACCCACAAATCAATTACTGTTCGGTCACGCTTGTCTAACATGTTGATTTGCTTTCCGAGCCTGCTGTTGGTAGAGCAGTGGTAGCTTTTGATCTCTGTTCGGTTGGAAATGTTCTGCATGTCAAAGTTTCAGACTGCATTCTGCACGACCGATGTGTTCTGTCTGAATGGAAAGCATTCAGCAGAAAATACACTTGCAGCCTCGGCTCCAGAGT